AAAAGGGAAATCACATTTAATAAATTTATGGAGTTACTTGAAAAGATAACATGTGCTGAAGATAAAAGGGAATCAGAAGCGTCCAGACCCGAAACATCAGCTTTCCTGCTCCTCTGATGCTGCCTGGCCTGCTGTGTTCATCCAGCTCTACACCTTGTTATCTCTATTGTATGCATTGTATTTGGATTTCCAGAAGTGATATGTGCCAAATCAAATGTTATTGGAGGAAGTAAAGGCTCGTGCTGGACTGGGGTAGCATTTTGGCATGGTTAGAAAATCGCCTAGCTAATAGAAAGTAGAGTAGGCATTACTGGGTTATTTTCAAGTTGGCAAGCCTAATAATGAGTGTGCAACAGAGATCAGTGCTTGGACCTCAATGTTAACGATTTATATAAATTACTTGGATGAAGGGACAGACGTATGGTTTCCAAACTTGCTGATGACACAAATACAGGAAGAGTAAGTTGTGAAAAGACATCAGGATACTGTAGAGTAATATAAATAGGTTAAATAGTTGGGCAAAAATCAGGCAAATGAAGCATAATGTGGCAAAGTGTTAAATTCTCCATTTTGGCAGGCAGAATGGAAAGGAATGATATCAGCGAAATGGTGAGAGATTGCAGAACTCTGACATGCAGAGGAATCAGGGTGTCCTTCTGCATTACTCACAGAAGGTGAGTACACAGGTAATTAGCAAAGCTAATAGAACTCTATAATTTATCATTAGGGAGATAGAATTCCAAAGTAGAAAGGTTATGCTGGAGTTGTACAGGACTTCGGCAGATCCACATCTGGAGTATGTTGCAGAGTATTGATCACCTTATTGAAGGAAAGATATAAATGCTTTGGAAACAGTTCAGAGAAGGTTTACTAGATTTATGCCTGGAATAGGTGGAATGTCTTATGAGGAACGATTCGACAGACTAGGCTTGAACCCAATGGAGTTTAAAAGAATAAAGTGGTGACTTGATTGAAATATTGAAGATCCTGAAGGATTTTTACAGGATAAATGTGGACAGGATGTTTCCTGTCATGGGAGAACCTAGGACCAGGGGTTAAAAACCAGGAGTTGTCCATTTAGGTCAGAGATGAGGTGAGATTCCCTCTCTCAGAGCCTTGTAATTCTTTCAAACTCTTTTTGTGGAAAGGTGGTAGAAACAGAGTCCTTCGATATTTTTAGACAAAGGTAACTGGATTCTTGATAAGCAAGGGAGTGAAAGGTTATCAGAGTTAGGCTGGGGTGACAATCAGATTAGACAGGACCTTATTGAATGGCAGAGCAGGTTCAAGAGGCTGATTAGTCTACCGCTGCTCCTTATTCTTATAATTGTGTAATGCTCATTTAAAAGAGTCTTTGTAGACATTATGTTCAAATAGCTTCTTTCTGCGCCATATCAATTCCATGATGTTTAAGGGATGACTTTAGCTTATAAAGATTAAAATGTGGAATGAGTGCAGGTAAGAGTAGCAAAAGTAAAAGGTTATTTAGGGGTCCCATAAGCTACACCCACAACATTACTCTATCTTGTAGTTAATCAGGATCTTAAGTTTGACAATAATCATGTGTGATTTTCACCTACATATAAATTGGATGTATCAGCTTGGCAAAAGTAGCCTGGAAGATAGATCTATAGACTGTTTTTAGGACAATTTCTTAAAACATTATATACTAGACTTAATCTAAGAGCAGGTTGTTTTAGGCCTGATCATGTGTGATGAGACAGAATTAATTAATCAATTCAGATAATAGCAATCGTAACATGATAGAATGTTACATTTAGTTTGAGGATGTGAATTGTGGGTCTAAGATTACAGCTTTTCACTTAGAGGCAATTAAAAGGATATGAAAGCAGAATTGGGAAGTTAGGCTAAAGGGTATGTAGCAGTCGTGGATTGGCATCCATTTAAGGAAGATATTTCCTAACACTCCACGAGAATTCATTATAATGAGAAAGAACGATTTTAGGAGAAGGATACGCAGTCCATGGCTTTCCAAGGAAATTAAAGATATTATCAAATTGACTGAAAAAGTATGCAACTCTGTAAAAATGAGTGGTGTCCAGACGCTTGCACAGAAATTCTAAAGTCAGCAAAGAATTACTAAAAACATATACAGAGGGAGAAATTAAGAGTATCAGTGAAAACCAACTGTAAATATAAAAACAGTAGGAATTTCTGAAAGTATTTAAAAGGGAAAAGAGTAACTATAGTGAGTGAGGGTTCTCTGAAAAGTCAATCTGAGAAATTAACAATGGGAAATATGTAGACGGAAGAAATGGCACAATTGTTTGCCTCCCAGAAATACTTGAGGATCAAGCGGTGAAAATGAAAGAGCAACAACATGCAAATACAATCACCACGGAATGAGTGCTTTGAAAACTACTTAAATCAAAAGGTTGACAAGCCCCCAAGTTATAACCGACTTTATGGTGGGCTCTTCAAAGTAGTGACTGCTGAGACAGTAGATATATCGGCTGTAATTCACTAGATTCTGGAAAGGTTTGGAAAATAGTGAATAACACCCCTCTATTCAAGCAAGGAGGGAGACAGAAAGCAGCACAGTGTAAGCCAGTGAGCCAAACATCTATCATCTTTGAAAACGTCAATACAATCTGGCAATGTCGACATGGATTTGTGAAGGGGAAACCAGGTTTAACTAGCTTATTAGACTTTCTTTGAGAAAGTGACAAGTAATATTGATAAAGAAGAGCTTGTAGATGTGGTGTACATGGATATCCAAGAGGCATTTGATAAGGTTCCACATCAACTGTTCACTACAAAAGAAGCTCCTAATATACGGTTAACATATTAGCATGGATAGATTAGTTAGCTAGCAGGAAGCAGGGAAAATGGGTAACTTTCAATTGGCAGGCTGTAATTAGTAGAGTGTGACAGGGATCAGTGTTGAGGCCATAACTATTTATGATTTACATCAATGACTCAGATGAAGCAGCTGAGTATATAGTTGCCATATCTTCTGGTGATGCAAAGATAGATACAACTGTAAGTTTTGATGACGATATAGGAAGATTGCAAAGGAATGCAGATATGTTGAGGGATTAGGAAAAAAATGGCAAATGTGGTGCACGTGGCAAAATGTGAATTTGTTCACTTTGGCAGAAAGAGAAGTAACGCAGTATACTATTTCAATGGAGACAGACTGCAGAGCTCTGAGATTGCAGAGGGATTGGGTAGTTGTACAGTAATCACGAGAAGTTAGAATACAGGTACAGCAAGTAATTTGAAAGGCAAATAGCATGTTATTGCAAAGGCAATTAAATCTTTTTGCTGCAGTTGTACCAGGCATTAGTCTGGAATTCTGTTCTGCAGAAAACCTACTGGGGGGGGTCAGAGTCATTGAATAGGTTTAAACCGGAGATACATACGTTCCTGAGAGACAAGAGATTCAAAGGCTATAGGGGGTAGGCCGGAAATTAGAGTTGAAAGTTGAAGCCACAGTCAAGTCAGCCATGATTTTATTGAATTCAGAGCAGGCTCAAGGGGCCAAATGGCCTACCCTATTCATGCTTCTAATTCATATGTTTGTATGTTCCAGCATTTTCCTTCCTTACTTTAAACTTCCGGCATCTGTCAGTACTTAAAACTCACTTACTCATCTGGAGCTAACAAAACATCATTTTTACCAGTAACGTCAGGAAGTATTTCATCACACACACAGGGAGTGGGAATCTGGAATCCTGTTCTTTTAAAAAGCTGTTGAAACCTGGATCAAATGAACATTTTAAAACTGATATTGACAGAGTTTTGCTGAGGATATTAATCTTTATTCTTTCACAGAATATTGGTGACGTTGGTTAGGCCATCCCTAATTGCCCTTGAGATGGTGTTGGTGAGCTGACCTTTTGAATTACTGCAATCCAGGCAGTGTAGGGACACTCATAGTGCTGCTAGGAAGTATTTTGACCCAGTGAAAACGAAGGGACAGCAATATAGTTCCAAATCAGGATAATTTTGGCCTGGGAGGGAATTTGTAGATGATGCTGCTCCCATGTATTGTTTTATTCACTCATGGGATGTAGGCATCACTGGTTGGACCAGCATTTATTTCCTGGTCCTAGTTGCCCTTGAGAAGGCTGCGATGAGCTGCATTCTTGAACTGTTGCTGTCCATGTGCTGTAAACAGACCCACAGTGTTGCTAAGGTGGGAATTCCAGGATCTTGACCCAGCGACAGTGAAAGGAACGGTGATATATTTCCAAGTCAGGATAGTGAGTGGCTTGGATGGGAACTTAAATGTGGTGCTTTTCCTATGTAGCCATAGCCCTTGTCCTTCTAGATGGTAGTGGTCATTGCTTTAGAACATGCTAAGAATCTTTGGTGAATTTCTGTGGTGCATCTTATAAATGGTACACACTGCTGCTACTGAGAGTTGATTGTGGAGGGAATGGATGCTTGTGGACGCGGTGCCAATCAAGCGGGCTGCTTTGACCTCGACGATATCAAACATCTGGGAGTTGCACTCATCCAGGCAAATGGGGAGTATTCCACCACTCTCCTGACTTGTGCCTTGTAGATAGTGCACAGGCCTTGGGCAGTCTGGAGGTGTTACTCTGCTGCCCTCCTCTTTCTGGGTGGTAGAGGTCGCAGATTTGAAAAGTGCTGGAAAGGAAGCCTTGGCAAAGTGCAGCAGTGTCTCTTGCATATGTGTGGTTTAAGCTGCTGCCACTGTATGTCAGTATTGGAGGAAATGAATGTGTTCAGTGATGGATGCTGGGCTGATCAGCTACAGGCTTTAAGGAGACAGGGAATGATTTACCCATTACAACATTCGCAGTCACTACTAAAGGGTAGGAACTAAAGGTGGATAAATGGGAATCAAGGTACATATTAGCTGCAATCTAATTAGTATGGGTGTGTGAAGCAAAGTGGGCCCCTCCTGACCCTAAGCTCCCACTGCTGTAGGAAACCAGTCTGATTCAGAAACCTCCACATATGAAAGGGGAAAGCGGCTCAATGGGTTAACATAGTCCATTTGTTACCTGCAATAGTTGTGATTCCCAAGGCCTCCTTCTCCGTTGGGGTACTTGAGGGTGTTGTAAGGGTGCTGGAAGGTTTCGTTCCAATACAAGCAGGGCTTTCCTCCCTGGTGCGAGGTTCGATTCTGGCAGCCTCTGTAGTCAGCACCATTAGCAGTGTAGCACTCTGCAAGTGACACAGATAGAAGTTTGGTAAACTTTTGAAAGCAACCTCATCAGTTCTGATGTGTGAGATTATGCCAATTCAATCTTGAAGAAGTCCGATTTAGCATTTCTAAAGGTTTGGGCCTTTTTTGTAATTTATTCATGGGGCGTGACATTTGCTGTGTAGGCCAGCATTTATTGCCTGTCCCTAGATGCCCCTTGAGAAGGCGATAAGCTGCCTTTTTGAACCGTTGCAGTCCATATGCTGTGGGTCGCTTTGTTGAGACTTTGTAGCAATTGATACAACTGAGTGGGTATTTCAGAGGGCCGTTGAGAGTCACCCACATTGCTGTGGAGTCACATGTAGGCCAGACCAGATGAGGATGGCAGGTTTCCTTCCCTGAAAGACACGAGTGAGCCAGATGGAATTTTCTAGCAATCAACAATGGTTTCATGGTCATCAGCAGATTCTCAATTCCAGACTTTTTGTATTGAGTTCAACTCCCACATCTGCTGTGGTGGGATTTGAACCCGGGTCCCCAGACATTAAGTTGAATTTCTAGAATAATATTCTAGCGATAATACCGCTAGGCTATCGCCTCCCTAACATGGCAACAACGTAACAGAGAGGTATCATTTTTTAATTCGGAAGTCCATTCTATTTGGGGTAGAGCATGAAGAATGCCCAATAACCCTTTGGCTACCATGATGGAATTTCTGATTCAAATTCAGTCCTTTCTTTTGAAAGGTAAGTGTTGCAAAAGAAGATTTCCTTCCACTTTGTTCATTATCTCACCCATAGACACATTGATAGACATGGAGAGTCCGAATGCACATGCCACACACATGTGGTGACAGCCTAATTACTGCTGTTGGCAAATTACTTTCCCAGATGAGTTTTGTCTTTTTACAAGGTGAGTTAGCTATGGCCTTATCAATAGGCATCTCAAATTAGTCTGCAATAACAAGGTGCAGAGCTGGATGAACACAGCAGGCCAAGCAGCATTATAGGAGCAGAAAGGCTGACGTTTCGGGCCTAGACCCTTCATCAGAAATGGGGGAGGGGAAGGGGGTTCTGAAATAAATAGGGAGAGAGGGGGAGGCGGATAGAAGATGGATAGAGGAGAAGATAGGTGGAGAAGAAACAGACAGGTCAAAGAGGCGGGGATGGAGCCAGTAAAGGTGAGTGTAGGTGGGGAGGTAGGGAGGAGATAGGTCAGTCCAGGGAGGATGGACAGGTCAAGGGGGCAGGATGAGGTTAGTAGGTAGGAGATGGGGGTGCGGCTTGAGGTGGGAGGAGGGGATAGGTGGGAGGAAGAACAGGTTAGGGAGGCGGGGAGGAGCTGGGCGTTGGTTTTGGGATGCGGTAGGGGGAGGGGAGATTTTGAAGCTTGTGAAATCCACATACCTCCCCACCTACACTCACCTTTACTGACTCCATCCCCGCCTCTTTGACCTGTCTGTTTCCTCTCCACCTATCTTCTCCTCTATCCATCTTCTATCCGCCTCCCCCTCTCTCCCTATTTATTTCAGAACCCCCTTCCCCTCCCCCATTTCTGAAGAAGGGTCCAGGCCTGAAACATCAGCCTTCCTGCTCCTATGATGCTGCTTGTCCTGCTGTGTTCATCCAGCTCTACACCTTGTTATTTCAGATTCTCCAGCATCTGCAGTTCCTACTATCTCTCAAATTAGTCTGCTTTGCTCACAAGGCTGCCAGTCTCTCATTGGGTACTTTCACTCTCTTATTCCACTCGGGCTTTGCTCTTCTGATTGTCAAATGGGAACTGAATGCACATGAATCAAAAATAAAAGGAGGTTTGAAAGATTATGGGAGGAGTAGGGGAGTGGAACTAATTGGATGTCTCTTCCAAAGAGCCAGTTAGACAGAGTGGAGCATCAACAGATAATTATTCTGGAAATCCTGGCAGGGGGTTGGGAAACATAACTAGCCAACAATGCTTGGAATCTATGACGCCACTGGTTTACTGTCCATTTCCCAACCCAAACAAGATGGGTGAATGAAGGATTGTTTTACTCGGAACGTTAATTAATTCAATTGGTGAAATGTGCCAATTAGTTTAGCAGACTGGCGTTTTTAATATGCAGACATTACTTGTTACATATAATGTAGAATTTAGACCGTAGGAACAGGCTATTCAGCCCAGCTGGTCTTTGCTGTTGTTTATACACCACATGAGCCTGTTTCTGTGCCCATGCATTGCTTCACAACCCTCACATACACATCACTGAAAACACTGAAATGAAAATAGCTGGAGTCTTCATTTTAAAAGTGAACTCCCATATATTTTGTTTCCAGTGTCTGGGTTCTCACATTCATGTACAGCTCCACAAGCATTGCAGTTAAGAGACGAGGGTTGCCAAATAGCCATTACAAACTACAAGGCTCTTAGCATTGTGTGTTAAATTCCACTTGTACCAGCATTTGCAGTGTGAGATACTCATTCGACCAAATCTGTATCAAAAACGCTGCATTATTCAGCGGGAACAGTGTCTTCATATTGTTAACCACTGACCAACATGCACCTCAGAACTACTGATTATACACAGAATTCACACCGCATTTGGTTACTGATGCTTAGTTCAGTAGTCTGTGTAGCCCCACAAGAACTGTTTTATGATCTCAGTGTGTACATGGAGTATGGTTGCCAGCAATATATGCATTCATACAGGTTCACACAGCTCAATCCCAGTCTCCCCTGGAGCATTCGCACTGCCTTCAGCTTCTTGGCTATTAATTGTGCTACCTTCAATTGAATGGGAATGAAGCGTGGAAGGAAAATTTGAAGACCAATGTTACACAATACAACAGTATGATTATATGACGACAGTACACAACACAATGACAAAACAAAATGCAGGCAAAGATTCTCACACAACAACTAGAATTTGTGTCCAATGGAACCCTCGTATCTTGAAATAACACTTTGCACATTGCAACAACTGGAGGCAGGGTTACAGTACAGCCTCAACACCCTCCTGGGCTTCCCAGAATAACAGAGCTGCTGTTTTCACTGCACGCGAAGAGGCTTTGGTATTCACCTTTTTAGAATTATAAATCACAGGAAATGGCCGTTCAATTCATCAGTTTGTGCTAACCAATTAGTCCATCTCTCCAGTCTTTCCCAATCAACTTGTGGATATTTCCTGCTCAAGTATATATTCAACTCCCTTTTGACAAGCTGGAAAGCAAAGTCAGCAAGGACCAATGGGGTGCATATACCCATGTGGAATTAGCAAGATCATCTGGAATTCTTTATAATCCATAATGCTTTCCAATGGATGCCACAGTTACCCCATTTCTTAAAGGGGCAGATCATATCTCTGCAAGTATTTATAGACAAATCACCTCTCATTTCTTCAAATACCACAACTAGTGCTGATCTCTATTATAACCAATTACAAATAAATACTCAGTACATAGTTCAAGAGCACTGGCTTCTTTCCTTATTTGTGTGCCAATGCAGGCACCATAGGTTGGCACAGTGTTGGGCTTCACTATCTGTACTTTCTCTCAGAAATGTGGCACCTGAACCAGCACATTTTCTAGCAGAATGAGTGAAGATGCTGCCTGGCTCCAATATCTCACTGTCAGCCCACTGGATTTGAGCCTGAGCTCTACATTACCAGTAGCAGCAAGCGGATGTAACTTGGGACTGTAGTGGCTGGCAGTCTGGTGTTGCCAGCTTTCAGGGTCCCAGGGGGAAGGGAATGGACATAATTTTCCCACTTTATATCATTATCCAGCAGTTCCTGCTGGAATTCTATCTGGCACTGGCCGAAGATAAGACTGGACGTGGCTGAGATGCCTTAAGCTTCTCATACCCATGAGCAAGACATCCACATGAAGAATAATGGTCACTTTGACAAACTCCTGGAGGACACCCTTCACCTCTGAATCAATATTCCAGCAGGGAATTATCACCATCAAGAGAGGAAAGGTAGGACCTTTACAAAAAGGTGTGCTAGAAATAGTGACAGCTGTGATGGAAATTTTATCTTTATAGCTGTAAGCTTTCAAATGCAACTAAGTCAGTCAAATTAAACAGAAATTCTAGGAACTATTGCTTCTCCATCTATTAATAATGGTGCAAGGGGATTCAATTTGCTCCATATGCTATTTTTATCACATCAGTTACCATATCAGCTTTTCTGTTAAATTCACAACTGCACTTTCTAAAACAGTTAAACATTATTGTTAACCCGTGATTAAAACAGTATGTTGATTCCGACTTGCTATTTTTTACATAAAAATTAAGCAGTTTGGAGATAACATGTGCATTAAATAAACAGCATTTTGACGCAAACAGGTTAACCAGTGAACTAACGATAGTATGCAGTGGAAATTAAATCAGAGTGTAATTCCACACAAGAATCTCTCTCATCATGTCGAGGTTGTACAGGATATTGGTGTGGCCTCTTCTGGAGTACTGTGTCCAGTTCTGGTCACTGTGTTATAGGAAGGATATTATTAAGCTGGAGAAAGTTCAGAAAAGATTTACCAGAATGTTGCTGGGAATGGAGGGTTTGAGTTATAAGGAGAGGCTGGAGAGGCTGGGACTTTTTCACTGGAGCGTATGAGGTTGAGGGGTGACCTTATAGAGGTTTATAAAATCATAAGGGGTATGGAAAAGGTGAATGGCAGGTGTCTTTTCCCTCGGGTGGGGGATTTCAAGACTAGGGGGCATATTTTTAACATGAGGGGCAGTTTTTTTTTACACAGAGAATGGTTTATGTGTAGAATGAACTTCCAGTGGAAGTGGTGGATGTGGGTACAATTACAACATTTAAAAGACATTTGGATAAGTACATGAATAAGAAATGTTTGGAAGGATATGGGCCAAGTGCAGGCAGGTGGCAGTTTAGTCTGGTATTATGGCTGGCGCAGACTGGTTAGACCGAACGGTCTGTTTCCATGCTGTATGACTCTATAATTTGATTTATTATTGTTACATGTACATAGGTACAGTGAAAAGTTTTGTTTTGCATGCACTACAGACAGAT